TGCTTCGGATGCCACCGGGAGCCGTCGCAGGGTTGTTTCTCCTTCAGTCGATGCTCCATCGTCGCCTCATGTGGACGTTCGTTCACCACCCCGGACAGGTGTGTCTCTAAGTCCTGAGACACATGTCACAGAAGATGTTGGTCGGGAGAGGATCGAGGAGTTATACAACTTATTCTGAAGGGCCGACCTCTCCCGAGGTTGCCCCGGACACGGAAGATGTCGATCCTTGTGCTCCTAAAGAGGCTGCTCCTTTTCAAAAAGACGCCGGCATAGAAGGTGCTAATTCAAACGCTACAGCCGAGCCTAAGCAAGAGGAGAAGTTTTTTTTATTATAATCCTCATCATCTTTGCATGAGGTGGGATGGGAATACTCCGGCGATGCTTAACCGTGAGTTTGCCGCAGATTTAATTTGGAAGTACAGGGAGAAGCCGCGATGGGGCAAGCCACTTTGCGAGTTGAAGCTGATGAATTTGATCTCCTCGGCAAGCCAACTGATAGCTCGGGTAATTTTATTTATCCGATGATTGTGTTGTTTCACCTTTCTCCTGTCTTTGGTGTGTCTTTGATAGTATGTTGCAATACAGGGTCTAGGAAAGTATATGTCCGCGTTTGCTGCGTACGATGATAACTGGTGTGCGGAGGAAGCGAATGTAAACGCTGCATGTGCCGAGATCAAGGAGCTTAAAAAAGCGAAAGAAGAAAATCGGATTCTTGAAGAAAAGTGCTCTCAACTTGAAGGCATTGTCGACACTTTTAAAAGTGAGGTGTCCGAAGCCAGTCGACTTCGCAAACAAGTCACCACTCTCCAAGCTCAGAATGAGCTTCTCGAAAGGCAGAATGAAGAGAATCAGCAAGGATTTCTTGCCGAGAAAGAGGGGCTTCAAAAGGCTTGTGACGCAGCTGCTCGAGATGCTGCTAACAAAGTTTTTGATGGCATGTCTGCTTGGTTTAAACCCCGTTTAGATCGGATTCAAGCCTCGCTAATTCAGCGCGAAGAGGTGGAAGCGGCCCTCGTTGACATGGAGAAGAGTGGTCATATGGTGGCTTTCTTAAAGAAGATGCAAGAGAAAGGGTGGGAGCTTCCTGCCGGGACCCTTCCATCTTTTGAGAGGGAGTTCACCAAGTGGAAGGCAGCCAACGACGCCATTGACGAGATAGTCGTTACGAGTGACGACCTCAATCTCCCGAGTAGATCGGAGATTGACGGGCTGTGTAAATAAGTTCGGCGGGATTTTTTATGTATTTATTTATTTTTTGTAAGAATTTTTGCCTAAGATGGCTTATTAATCCCTCAATGAAGAGGTTTTTGTGATTGCTTTGCATCGTTCTTTCTTTTGTGTTGTGTTTTTTGGAACTTTTTAGTTCAAAACTGGAAGCGGGATTCCTTTGCCCGTCTTATACCAAACGACGATCAAGATCGAATACCAATTTTTCAGGATTCACTTTGGCCCGAAAGGTATGATCGAAGATCGTGCGAGTATTGTCCTCGGCTTTCTTCTTATCAACTTCGGAAGTATTTAAATCGAACCGAAGCGTCAAAGGAGTGGTGATCAGCCACTTATTTTGTTTATTTGTGCTTGGTTTTTTCGAATCGAATGTTTGACCTGAACATCGATTCAGCAAGATGCATTCGCATAAAGAAATTTGACTCTATACGCCGAGCTAATTTTTCTGAAATATCAATTTATTAGATTTACAGCTGCACCCGGAGGTTGCCTACGTACCCGAATTGGGATCAAGCCGTTCGTAGTTCATTACATGTATTGAATGAGTGGTATCACTCAGGGGCTGAGCCCGGTTTTATTGAAAGAAAAAAGAAAAGGTCGAGACTTATTGTTGAGTCTTGGTTGCTTTATTTAGCGTCTTCAAGTGTTTTTTCCGTGGAGAGTCGCACTCTGTGTTCGCTGATGAAGCAAGATCTTGCCATCTGTTGATTCCCGCAAAGTGTGAAGACTCCGGCCGAAGTGACGAATTTCATGCATTGATGATAAGTCGACACAATTGCTTTCATCTCATGGATCTATGGTGTGCCAAGTATGGCATTGTAGATTGCTGGTTTGTCCATCACCGTAAATTTAACGATTTTTGTCACTCCGCCGGCATAGACCGCGAGTCGTATGGTGCCGAGGCTGAAGAAAGATTCGCTGGCAAAGCCGGTTAAAGGCTTCGGTGCCGCTTTGATGTCTTTATCTTGGAATCCCATCTTAGTCAACGTATCTATAAAGATGATGTTGACCGTGCTGCCGGTGTCCACCAATATTTTGGTCACCTCGCTGTCGTGGATATGTAGTTCAACTACCAGCGGGTCGTTATATGAGGTGTGTAACCCGTGCATGTCCTCTGATGTGAAGGTGATCGTATGGTGATAGACCACGGGGCGAGGAAATTTCTGCAATGCGACTGCTTTTCGTCCATACTATTTGATGGCATGGACCGAGTCATCGCAATCGGAGAGTCCTCCCATGATCATATTAACCCGTCGCTTCGGTGAAGGAGGCGGGTTTTCGTGTTCTCCATCGTTGTTTTGGCGCTCTGCTCCCCTCTCTTTTTCCTTTTCTTCGTGTCTCCTTTCGGGCGTGCGACTTCGGCGCCTTCCTCCGGAACCGTCTCGATTGCTACTTTTTCCTGGATCCCTATGGTCTCGGGTGGAATTGGACCGACCCGAGTCCCTGGAGTTTGAACTGCGTGAGTAGGTGTTTTCACTCCGGGATCGATCGCTTCCAATGTTGATATCGTTTATACAGCATGTTGTGGAGGTGTCGGCAGGCCGAGGTGGCGTGTCCTGTTCGTCCGTGAAAGGAGCAGTAGAGATCGTGATTATCGTCCCTATCGCTTGTGCTCCTTGGGGGGTCTCCTGAGGCCCACTGATGCCCGGGTTTCTCTGTGGTTGCTACGACAGTGTGAGAGGCGGGCTTGCTTTTACTCGCGGGCTCCTTTTCTTTCGAAGTGCTTGCTGTTTCCAAGCCGTGTTTCTTGGCATAGAATATTTTCCCCTCCTCCATCCGCATGAAGGTTTGAGCCCGATGGAGTGCGTCCTCTATGGTTTCTTTCGGATGCTTATGCAGATCTTCTTTAAAAGAAGATTCGTACCAAAGACCGTTCATGAGTGCCTCGATGGCTAAAGCTTGAGGAATTTGCCTGTATGCCGCGGCGGCGTTTTTAAAATTTTCGATGAAGTCGTGGAGTGGTTTGCTGCGTTCTTGTACTAGAGTAAACAGGCTGACTGTCCTCTTCGTGATAAACATGGAGTAATGTTTGATGAAGGCGTGAGTCAGATCCTTGAAGGATTTAATCGAGGTCGGGGGTAAGTTCGAGAACCACTTTAGAGCGTCTTTATTAAGGTGTTCGACAAAGGTTTGGCAGTGGTTGGCTTCTCGTTCGAGGTCGGTCTCGAATCGTTGCCTCTTCATGGCAACGTTGAATCCAGTCAGCCATAGGTTGGGATCCTCCATCCCGTTGTAGTATGGAAGCTTCAGTTTAATTGCCTTGCCAAGTCAGACGTCGGTGATCCGTGGGGCGAATAGGTTGCGTTCTGCATCCGAGAGGATGGCTGAGATCTCGGGCGCCGAGCTAGTGGCTCGATGGACTTGGGACCCGATCGCGTTGATCCCCTGATGAAGTCTTTCGATCTCGGAATCTCATTCGCCAGAGGGCTCCTCGCCGTCGGCTGCTACACTCTGGGTGTTGTTTTGCGTCGGTTTTCGAAAATCAAATGCCGTCCTGTCGGCTCTGATCTCGCGGTTGTCGCGGCTGCGAAGGCGCTGAGTTGCTCGTCGTACTTGGCCTGCTAGGCCTGGAGGGTGTCTAGTTTGGACACCAAGTCTTGCGTGAGTGGCTGCATGGCGGCCTGTATAGCTGCTGTGAGGTCAGCGGCCTGGAGGGGAGCTGGGAGTGCTCCCGCGGGTGGATTCGCAGTAGTGTGGTTCGTCTGTTCTCCGAGAGCAGGTGTCCCAGTGTGAGTAGTGTCATCTTGGATGAGATCGCTGTCGTTGACGGGGAGGCTCATCGCTTCGGCTTTCTTACTTGGTTTTCTAGGAATTTATTCTCCTAGTCCCCACAGACGGCGCCAATTGTTGAACCAAAAAATCACCACACAGTTTGATTAACAGTTGTGGGTTTCAGAGAATAAGATATTTTTATTAATAGTAAGAAAGCGTAGCGATTACAAAGAAATGTATAACCGAGAGGTTATGCTGAAGTGAAAAGTAAGTTTGCCAAGTAAACCAGAAAGCGTTGGAGTCTCTGATTTTAGCTCTGCTGCTCTCTCGATTGTATGAGTTGTTCCTTCCGTCTTCGGGACCTTTGTATTTATAGGAATGGGAGGTCGGTTGCCCTGAACTCCTTTTCCTTTTTGCCTTCTTGTCTATTTCCATATCACAAATATGAAAATATCTCTTATTCTCCGAAAAGTAAGGAAATTCTCCTTTATCATTTGGATTAATCTGATGTTTCCGGTTTTCAATAATTATCTTCTAAGAGTTTTCCTTTAATCCGAGCTAGGTCGGTGCGGTCTTCCTGATCGTGATGGACTTAAGTTATTGCGGATAAGGCTTTTTAGGAAATGTACTCATTTCCCATCTAACACCATGAAAGGAACCTTTACCTAGTCATATCTTTGTTTATCGACTCTCGAGTGTTTTCTGCATTCGTTAGTTTATGGCTGACGACTAAGTGAAGACTTACCGAATATTCTTTTTGTGTTCAGGCATTTTAAGCAGAGTCCGAGAGTAATATATATCAACTTGAGATTAACACACATGACTAGTATCAATATATACTACTAGATTCAACATCAGATGGATTAGTTCAACGATATTATAGTGGAATGTGTCCTTAAATTATACACAAGTATGCATTATTAACTTTCTTGCCGGTTTTGACTTTCTTTTTTAGTCTTTATTATTCCGTCCAATCGTATACATGACCCATTTCTCATTTTCACATCTTTCGCAAATTTCAGTAAACAAGTTTTTCTTTACTTCTTGATTTCCGTAGAAACATGAAAGTGAGAGACAACATGAAGTGTCATCTTTTGTTGGCCATCATTGGAACCTTTGCCGTTATAGTTGGAGCACAGACACAAGAAGGTAATAATATAGGTCAACGAGGATCTTTCGTTGACTTTAGATATCTTGTATATGTATCAATTTTCCCTTTTTCTTTTGTTTTGTTTCGAACAGGATTCATCAGTTTGGATTGTGGATTACCTGATGATGAATCTCCTTACAACGATGCATTCAATGGATTGACATTCACATCGGATTCCAGATTCATCCAAACAGGGAAAAGTAGTAGAGTTCATAAAGATCTCAACAAAATATTAGGAAAACAATATTTGACTCTGAGATACTTTCCTGAAGGAAAGCGCAACTGTTATAGTATTGATGTCAAGAGTGGTACAAATTATCTCATCGCAGTTAGCTCCGTTTATGGGAATTATGATGGTCTTAATCTTGATCCAAACTTCGATATCTATATTGGTCCCAATAAGTGGTTAAATATGGATTTGGAAGGAAGACAAAATGGTACAAAAGAGGAGATCTTACACAAAGCTAGGTCAAACTCTTTGGATATTTGTCTTGTTAAAACAGGAACAACGTTGCCTCTAGTTTCAGCCATAGAAATACGACCACTGAGAGATAATACATATGTTGCACAATCTGGTTCACTGAAGTTGTCTTTCCGGGGGTATCTTAACAATTCCGATGGATTTATAAGGTATGTCAACTCCATTTGACGCATTCAATGTGATTTACGTGTCATAACTCATAAGAGCTTGTAAATGATCAATCGATGTTATTTAGATTCTTTGCTACCCAACAAGTTTGGTTTCAATAATAGATGTAGAATAAAATTAAGATACCAAACAAACCAAACATTTTCAGAAAGAATCCATATTAGGCAAGCTAAAGATCTGAGATGGGTGGGCAAACGAGAATTCCGAACATGATATTGCGGTAATGGGAATGAAACGGAAATATGAAAAAAATAAAATAGCCGTTCTATATATATTCCATTTAAAATTTGGATTGGATGAGAACATCACGAGAATTCAAAAAACATTTTAGAGATAATTTTACAATTTTATTACGAAACATGATTCTTTCTAAAATGATTCATAAGAATTCATAAGAAGGGTCTACTAGTATGATTTTAATCCATTGTTAGCCTGCCAGTAATTTGTATTTAGTTTGTCATTAGTTTGTCAATAGTCTACATTCAATTGTAAGATCAATCAGTCTGGAAGTAGTCTGCATTCCATCTCCTGTTAGCTAATCTGCCATTAGGTTACAAGTAAAAGTGGTTAAAATGGTAGCGCTAATATTTAAAATAACCGTAGAATCAGGGTTATTTTTACACTTTTCAAATGGAATATCCGTTTCACATTATTTTCTCATTCTGGGATACTTTGGAGTATTTAGTTCACCTCCTTGACTTGCGATGCAAGAAATATGATTATTGTTCTATAACTTTTAATTTAGTACATTATGATTGTCATTTAGTTTTCATTTGTTCAATTTCATTTTGGCTAATATAGTTCAGTGCAGGTATGCTGATGACGTCCGTGATCGTATTTGGTTTCCATTCTTTAGCACTTCATATACGCAGATAACAACAAATCTCAATATAAACAATTCAAATGCATATGAGATACCAAAAACAGCACTCCAAAGTGCTGCCACGCCAAAAAACGCCAGTGCGCCGCTGGTCATCACATGGAGACCCGAACCCTCTAATGCTCAAGTGTACATTTACATGCATTTCGCTGAGATTCAAGCCCTTGAAGCCAACGAGACGAGGGAGTTTGATGTTATCTTGAAAGGAAACTTTAACCATTCAGCTTTTAGTCCTACCAAGTTAAAGGTATTTACATTATTCACAGAAGTACCAATGCAATGTGATTCGAGAGGTTGCCGTTTAGAGCTAGTAAGAACTCCAAAGTCAACTCTTCCACCTCTGATCAATGCTCTCGAAGCTTACACAGTTATTGAATTCCCACAATTAGAAACAAGCCTAAGTGATGGTACTAATTAACTTTCAATTATTACATGCAAGAAAGTAAACTTATATTCTACCTTATGATATTAATTCTTATACATTCTCTAACGTTTCAGTTGACGCTATCAAGAACATAAAAGTTACGTATGGAGTGAGTGACATCACTTGGCAAGGAGATCCGTGTCTTCCTAAAGATTTTTCGTGGGAAAATCTTAGATGCGCTTACAATGCCTCCACACCACCAAGAATCATTTCCTTGTAAGACCACTCCCAAACATGTATCTCTTATTTAAAACTAAGGTATTCAAATATTTTCCTAAAGTGTATTTGTGATTTTATAATCAGAAAGTTGTCAGAAAGTGGATTAACTGGGATCATAGCTTCAGTTTTACAGAATCTCACACTATTACAAGAACTGTAAGTATCTCTACTGGTTTGGTAATTAAACCAAGACTGATATGTTCAGACACGTAAGCCAAACATTTGTATTAAACTATTTTTGCATGCAACTGCAGGGACTTATCGAATAATAATTTGACTGGACCAGTGCCTAGTTTTCTTGCTAGCATGAAATCTTTGTCCTTGATGTAAGCTTTCTAGAAAGCAGAATGAACATTTTTGGGCGGATTTGTGTGTGTGTGTGTGTACATTTACATATAATTATGGTCATTTTCGTTTCAACAGAAACTTAAGTGGGAACAATCTCAATGGTTCAGTTCCTCAGGCTCTTCTTGATAGAGAAAAGGAAGGACTTGTTTTAAAGTAAGGTTCTATTTTTTTCCGCTCTCGATATCGTTTCGTTAATTATATAGAAAATGGAGTTCTTTGGGAAATCATGCAAGATTTAGGTTCCTTAAAAACTTTAATATATTTGAGTCTCATGTTCCTTGTAGACTTGAAGGAAATCCAGATTTGTGCAAATTTAATTTATGCAATCCAAAAGAGAAAACGAAGAATTTCTTGCTTCCAGCTATTGCGTCAGCGGCCTCTCTGCTTGTTTTAGTGGTGGTCGTGGCTCTTATTTTTGTTTTCCGAAAGAAGAAGGTGCCTTCAGGTACGTGTCAAGCCATATATAATAATTAGAGAAATTTTATAAAATCATATATTTCAAAAACCAAACATGTTACTACTGTGTAGATTTACCTGCCCCGCCTCCACCAAGTATACCCTTAGCTGATGTTGGTCAGTCAGAATCATCATTCTTGTCGAAAAAGATTAGGTTTAGTTTTCTTGAGGTTCAAGAAATGACACGTAACTTTGAAAGAGCTCTCGGTGAAGGAGGCTTTGGAGTCGTTTATCACGGTTGTGTTAATGTTACCCAACAAGTAGCTGTTAAAGTGCTCTCTCAATCATCATCTCAAGGCTATAAGCATTTCAAAGCAGAGGTACCCTTTTGCTCGATGATTTAATTAATGTTTATATATCTCTTTCTGTATTATTTTTTCTTACAAGAGTATTAGCTGATGGATGGTTGGTTAGGTGGAATTGCTTATGAGAGTGCACCATATAAATTTGGTGAGTCTTGTTGGGTATTGTGATGAAGGAGACCACTTGGCCCTCATCTACGAGTACATGCCAAATGGAGACTTAAATCAACATTTGTCAGGTAATAAGAACATAATTAATTTCAGAAAATATTAGAACATGATATGCTGAGCAATTTGGTATTTATGTCCGATTAATACAGGGAAGCGTGGTGGGTTTGTTCTGAGCTGGGAAAATAGATTAAGAATAACTGTGGATGCAGCCTTAGGTATGCACAACTCTATTCTTTCAACCTTGAGAAAATTATAAAGTTACTAATATAGGACACACACAATTAATTTAATTATTCATTTGCCAAGAAAATGCTGAATTTCGATTTGTTATGAAGGATTGGAGTATTTACACACAGGATGTATACCACCAATCGTTCATAGAGATATCAAAACTACAAATATACTTTTGGACCAAAACTTTCAAGCCAAACTAGCCGATTTTGGGCTTTCGAGATCTTTTCCCACTGGAAATGAAAATTATGTGTCAACAGTTGTTGCTGGCACTCCTGGATATCTTGATCCTGAGTGAGTATTATTTTACTTCTTACTCCCTTTTTGATACTTGATAACCACAAACAATTTTTTATATATGTTTTATCTTATAATATGTTTTGCAGATATTATCAAACAAACTGGTTGACAGAAAAGAGTGATATATACAGTTTCGGAATTGTTTTATTGGAGATTATTACAAACCAACCTATAATTCAGCAATCCCGTGAAAAGTCTCACTTAGTAGAATGGGTCAGCAATATGATTGCAAAAGGAGATATTAGAAATCTTATGGATCCAAACCTACACCAAAATTATGACATTGGTTCTGTCTGGAAGGCCATTGAAGTAGCAATGTCATGTGTGAGTTCTTCCTCCGCAGGAAGACCAACCATGTCTCGAGTTGCTAAGGATCTAAAAGAGTGCCTGATATCTGAAAAATCGAGGATAAGAGAGTGTGGGGACATGGAATCAAAAAGTTCTACGGAATTCAGCATGGGTATTTACACCGAGGTGATCCCAAACGCACGTTAGCTCGCAATATACATATATCTCCTTGCTGGTTTACTTTTTCATGAATCTTTATTTGCAACTTTATGGGGCTTTCTTTTTAAAGATGACCAAGGCTTTCACAAATGAAATGGGATATTGAAGTTGGGTTGTTGTAATTTGATATATGTTATGGATAAATATTTCGTTAAAATTCAATGTGGTGAATTTTTCAGTATAGAATTTGTTTTGGTTGGTCAAAGCAGTATAAGTTTTTGTAATATTAAATGGCGTTCTTTCTATACAAAATGTTAATATAAGAAACATTATGCTTTTGCCGTCAAAAAATAAAACATTATGCTTTTAAAAATAACTTAAATGGGATAGTGGTCACATTCCAGGCTGTCCAGTCACCAGATTTGACCCAGCTTCTCTGCACGAGGTTAAGGAAATAAAAACAGTTTGAGGCACACAAAAAAGTTGGAAAAAAAAAACACTTTCCCATTCATCATCATCAAGTCCTCAAATCAGATGTCTCATATGAGCTTTCTAGTGACAAAAGTTACCCGCTCTCATATAGGTTGTTAGACAGCTATAATTTATTTCACAGCTTACATGTTCTACACAAGATCTCAATCTGTAAACAAGTTTCTGACCTATGTAAGTGACCCGCTTATAAACGTAATAGAAAAGTTTGATTGTATTGAATTTAGAACTCTACATATATACAGAGAATACAGACGGTGATAAGGAAAACCAATATACAGAAATTAAGAGAGAATTAACTAAGGCTTAACTATGTGCAATCATATATATATAATTTATATATTTCTGAACTGTGATATCTTTGACAGGGTGTTCTAATACGCCCTCTCAAGATGAACGACCCGAAGTGAAACCAATCTTGATCGCCAAGTCTTGAAATCGAACTTTTGGTAACGGCTTAGTTAACGTGTCAGCTAATTGATCAGCAGAGCTTACATGTAAGAATCGAAGTGTTCCATTCTGAACTTGTTCTCGAACGAAGTGGTAGTCAAGAGCTATGTGTTTCATCCGGGAATGGAAAACAGGATTTGCGCAAAGGTGGGTTGCGCCAATGTTGTCGCAGAAAATTGTTGGAGTGCTAGTAAGAAGAACCCCAAGTTCAGAGGCGAGAGAGAGGAGCCATTTAAGCTCCGCAGCAGTGACTGCGACAGACCTATACTCTGCCTCTCTGTTG